CTTTCAGATTCGGCAGATGACCTTATCAATACTGCCAGACGATTTGAATTAGCATTTGGTCTATCAGATTTGAAGGAAAAGATACTCAGATACAAATCCACAAACGAAAATGCTTCAAGCTTCTTTGAAAATCTGTACTACCCTCTTCCATGGTATATAAAAAACAAAGTACAGCGAGAAAAAAAAAGGTAGTGACTGCAAAGTCAAATGAAAATCCCTCCGGGGGGGCTGCCTACAGCCCCTACTACACCAGGCGACCCACCGACCGACCGACGTTGTTGTCACATTAGCCACGCCACGCTGTGCGCCCTTAATGAGCATCCCAGACATATGCCACGGGGCCGGAGGCCAGGACCAGAGGCCAATGGGGCATGGGCCTAGGAGTAGGGGGCCCGCGAGCCCAGGTCCCGGATGCTTTTATCGCTGCCCAGATCTCTGCTACGTAAATTGGTATGTTTAGGTTGTCCTTGAATTGCAATAGGGATGGAAGTGGCCCTCCCAGCTGATGCTCGTGTGCCGGGGTGGATGGGTCTTAGGTCTAGGCGGAGCCCCACGCCATATGTAAATGTCTTTATTGCTTCGTCCATGAGGGGGGAGATTCTGTCACACATATGGCGGAAAAAACCAGAGAGGGCTCCCATTTTGAAATAGTATATGAGTAGGTATAACTTATAACAAAATGGAGGCAAAGGAACTTAAACAAACAGATGCAAAGGCACCCAAAAATGAATCTATGAATTACTGAATGTTTTGATCTGATTTCTGTCAATCATTTGGTCATCAGGATCCCTTCTTTATCTTATTCAACTGTTCCTCAAAATACTACTACACCTTATCGTAATTTCTACCCCCAAAACACGTTCGTATTACCCAAGGAATCAACTTACTACAGAGATCAAATCGAACTCGGATGCACCCTATTAGCAGGCCATACGTGAGTGTTAACCAAACAGGATGGACCGCAATCCCCCTCTCTCTCTCTCTCGCACCACTTTCCATCATCATAATTATAAACATTTTGTGGCGTTTGAAGGCCCTGCATTGAAAATCATTTTCGAAAAATGCCATCAACCAAAAATGTTGTTGGCATTCTTCCACATTTGCAGCGAGAACGGTTTTCAACACCCTGGGATCCCACATAACCCGCGAAAAGACCGACAGCAGATCCACGAGAATTTCCCCCACACTTGTTGATGTTAATTCACATTACGTATACGCACGCTGGACGCTGAAAGCTGTGCATGCCGCATTCAGAGTTCGGGGATTTAGCATTTTTCCATTTTTGCGGTCTGCATTTTGTGCCGTCTACCGCATAATTCTTATTTTAATGCTGCACTTTAGGCGTATGCCAAAAATATGGTGGATGGGGTGGGGGTTCGTTCTGTTTCCAGACTGAAAAGAACTTTGCTTGGCACATTTTTTTTCGTTTTTGTGCTCTGCGCTACGTTGATTTTCGGTTTCCCATTTCAAAAGCACAGAGAGACACAGAGAGCGAGAATCCCAAGACAAGAAGTTGTCTAAACAAATTGCAGATGCATGTCGACATTGTGTTTTCGGTGGCGGTGCTGCTCCAAATGATGCTGACGTCAGCCGCGCATCCACACGAGCCGTGTGGGAACAAGGAGAACACGAACGAACGTCAGCCATCCATCCATCCTACCCATTGAGTAAGCCAGCAGGCAACAGCCCAACCCCGGCCAGCCGACAGTAGCAGCATAATCAAAAACTTTTGCTCTAGATTTGCGTTCTTTTATACTGGCTACACGCCATACCCTGTACTGGCGGGGCATAGTCGATGGACGGAAGGCAAAGTTTTCAACTCTAGAAAGTTTTCTGTGATTAGCCTTAAGATCTTCTATCTAAGAACATAGATGGCGCCAAGTCTTAACTGGATTCTATATTTATTACTTTTCTTAAAATGTATTTGAGAGGTATTCCATAGTCAGAAAATCCACTTTGGTGTTTCTTCTTTCTTGATCTGTTTTTGTTTTATTATATTTTTTTCGAAAAATGTTCCCGGTCAGCCAAAAATTGTGTGTTCGCTTCTGTTTGGCTGCAGTTTTGCTCGATTTGCGGCAAATTAAGTTGGCCTGGCCAGCAGACCATGCTCAGCCATCAGCACACACCCCCTACACTGTGCCCAGCCCAGCCCGCCCCCCTCTCCCCCTCTTTTTGGTGCATTGTTTCAGTGCCGTCGTCTGGCCGGGGTCCGGCCTGGCCTGGTCTTTGGTCCGCTCTGCACTGCTGGCTGCTGCCCAAAAATGCAATAAAATTAAATGTTTTTGTGTAAAAACTTTATGACTTTGTGTTTATGTTCGCAACACGCTCGGACTCTCGAGGCTCGAGCCTCGAGACCCTCGCGCTGCCACTGCCACTCGCATCGCGTTGCGTCTTTGGCTTGGCCTGCTTTAGTTTTTGTGGCTGATTGGCAATTGTTTTTGCTGTGGCTGCCTCTCCGGTTGCCGTTTCCGTTGCTGCCACTGCCGCCTCGCATGTGTTGACAGTAATTAATTTAACTGGCATAAATGAAATTTATAAGAGCCACACATTTTGCGTTACTCCCCGAGAGTGGACACAAATTGTCTGCTTCCACAGGGGGTCTGCTCTGGTCTGCTCTGGTCTGGTCTGGGCGGTAATATAAATATTTTTGTAGGGGAACAAGTAGTGGGAGAAGCGTGGAATAAAGCATATAGATAGCATACTTAACACACATTTTATTTTTAGTAAATTAATCACTTGTTCTTGTTACTTTGTAGAAATATTTTAGCTGTACAAAAAAAGGGAGAAATGCTAAATTTTGCATAGGCTCTGCAGCAGGTATTTCCATCTTTTTCGGGTATATTCTAAACCCTTCAAAGAAATTTGTCTTTAAACTTTCGAGATTTCTCCATCAGATCTCATTAATTTAACACCCCATATAGGCATAATTGGTAGCCAACTTATCCGATCTTATCTCACTATCAAATTAACTCATTTACTCCCCCCTGCAGGCCCCAATCCATAGCGGTAACTAATTACAGACTTTTGATAAGCTTTGGTTTCACTTTGGCACCTTGCTCAAGACTCTTCCTCATCGACTGAGTCAGCCAGCTCCAACGGTGTTTTCTCTTGGCTTTGGAGCCGGCTGGAAGGCTGGTGAAATCATCGTCGAGTGGCTGGCTGGCAGGCTGGCAGGCACGTTCGCCCTTCAATGGGAGGCGTGCGAAATGCATCATAAAAATCAAATATGAAATACACTTTTTTACAGCTCACGCTTCTTGACAACATCATTGAAGACGACCCCAAGGTGTGTCCAACTAAATGCTTATTAATTATGGGTCCGCAGGCATTCCATAAACACCCCAGACCCGAGACCAAGTGCAAAATATCTCAAGACACACTCCACACTACCAGATGGGCAGCAGCAAAAGTAATTAACTTAATATCGTTGTAAAAAGAAAACTTTTTCCTCCAACAGTCGTTAAATATTGCCGGATGGCAGTCGTAAACAAATGAAGCTGAAAACTGCAATCATTTTGAGAATTTTATCTGGCAGAACAACCCGAACAGCTCTAATTAAAATTGCCAATAAATCGGTGGCAAACGAAGAGGAAATTATATGAGAAACAAAAAGTAGTCAAAAGTTCATTTCATTCAAGTGGCAATGGAGACACTTAACGGTTTGATACACTGCAAAAAAAAGCAGGGAAATAGAGAGCAATGAGGAGAGAATAGAGCATGATCTGGGCATCATCTAAAAAAGAAAAGGGTTTACAAAAGAGTTGAATGATTCTTCGAATATTATACCAACATTCTGAAACCAAAAAAATACTCCAAAATATAGTATTTAACTACTTTATTTTACGGTATAAAAAACCCTCAGTTAACTCCCGATTGTCTAGCATTTTGCCTGTGTATTTCAGTCCTATCTATCCCATCTTTATTAACCGCAACACACACACAGAGAAAATCCAGTTAAATATTCAAATCCAGTTTGACCTTTTTGGCCAGCTTTGGCTTTGGGGCCCAGAGATATGCAGCCACCAAGGCCATTGTCATGTGGAAAAACTATTTGAATTGCAGGAGCCTCTGTGTGTGTGTGTGTCCTGTGATGGGGGATTGATTCACACAGCGAACTTCCGCAGCCCCAACAAGTGCTGGAGGAGCGGAGCAACAAGCGCCCAGACAACGAGGCCAGCAGCAGCAGCCAAACAAAAAGTTTACGCTTCATGGCACAAATTGAATAAATCATTCGACGTTGTCGGGTGCTGCCACCGAGCCAGGACCCTCAGCGGACAAAGTTCGTGGGCTCACATAATTGTTGCGCAAAATTGACCAAAAATAAAGGCCAGAATCGAGGGAATCCCGAGAGTCCCTACAGAAAGTAGGGCGTAGCAGTTGGAGCAGGAAATCTGCTTAGGATTTAATTGAAAATAAATAAATAATATAGTTTAATGCTTTTAAAGCAAAACACTTTGCCCCCCATGAAAATTAATTCGATTTTAAAAAGAGGAGAACAGAAAATGAATGAAAACAAATTGGTAGAAGTTCCGCAAAGAATCAACTAAGGCAACGGCGATGTCATTATTATTTCAACTCTATAAAATTTTGGGGGGAAACACATGTCTGAACCTTGTCGGTGAACGAATCGAAATGAAGATGACATACTCGTAATCAGATCAGCAGCTGTGAATCACTCGAACAGAAATGGCCTTAACAATGGCAGACACAGATACAGATACAGATGCAGACCAGGCCAGACCAGAGACCCTGTCGAATGTAATTGCGAATGTCCGTGCCCCATTTCCGATTCCGTTGCACGTTTCCCTGATCGAAAATATGCGAATGCGAAATCAACGACGAGGCAGCGTTGAGGCGTCATCGGTTATGCAATCAAAAATGGTAGAATGCGGCACGTAAAGCTTTGACAATTATTTCATATCCGAGACGTCAACGGTTTGAAAGCCGAAACGAATCCATTCGGGATCTCACATTACAGAAAGCATCATAGAGAGTCTCAGATGAGTCGAACTAGAGGTGGAAATAGTTCGAAATGGCTGGAAACCGAATGTAAGATCTACTTGTAAGGGTTTACTAAAGTGTTTTCTAGAATTGTGCTACTCTAACAGCCTGCTATTGGTGGTGGTAGTTTGTCCTCTGATAAATGGAGAAGGGAATGCCACACAATGGGGAACGGAGACTCCTGCAACGGAATCTGTACCACCTCTAATGATACCCCCAGTTGAGGCAAAGACTGCTGTAAACAACTCCAAGATGGTGGCTACAATCAAGCCCCGCAGCTCGTTCTTGGTCAAGCCGGAGCAGTACAGGTACGCATTTCTGAGACATGTCAGAAGGTGCCCCAGAGTGACATTTGTAAATCCAGTCGATGTGAAAAAGGTATGCCGGAACACCCCTTAGAACACCCTAGACTTATGAATCTTTGATACAGATATTGGGATTTTGGTATGCCTACGCGACGACCCCCATGGCCCATCCCTTGTTCCGGCTGGAATGCAGCGCCTACGATGCTTCCAATTGTGAGTGCATTGGTGAGTGCTTAGTTGAAGACTAATCCCACCTCCTACGTTCCTCAGACAACTTCACCAATCGCATCTTGAACACGGACTATGTCAACTATGCCATACTGTATTTCTGCATATACAACAACAAGACCAGGAAATATGATAGTAAGTAATGTCGGCCCATTACCATTGTAAACTGGTTTTTGCCCCTCAGTTACCATTCGAGCTCTTACCCGCAATACATCGCCGACAAGTTTGACCATTCGGACTATAATCCAGAATATGAGAAAGTTCCGTTTCCAAACCAAAATCCTTATATGGCTTAAGCACAAGGCCTACTGCTTTGAGTGGTTCATAAGGTCAAACCAGGACAGAAGACGGTTCTACCGATACCTGGCCCCCTACAATCGATGGAATGATCATTGATGATGACAGCATTGAATTAATTGCATAACTCTCGCTAATTGTTACAACATAATAAATGGTTGGACTGCAGGATGATAGGAGGGAAATCGTATAACTTAATTAGATTTTGGGCAGCCCACTGAAATCAATTACGGGCCAGAGTTTCACTCGACTGAATGCCACTTGTCCCTGGCCCCTTGTTGGAGCACAAGATGGGACACATATGGAGGGTGGGGCACAGAGAGACTACTACTGGCATTGAATTGATGCTTTTGCTGGCTGTGGCGAGGCTTCAATTCAATTTGCCCATGGAACCGGCCCCACCCGAAACCCCAAGAAGTTTCCATCGTGTCTGTCTTTTTTGGGCACATTTTCATTTTCACATTTTCCCCCAATTCTGGCAATTTTTTGCCCTCTTGTTGTGCGGCTTCCCGTTGGCCAAATTGCTACGGCCACGCACAAATTGGCCTTGTCTGTGGGGGTAGGCAATAAAATCAAACCCATACCCAATCCCAAACCCATGCCGGGCCCACACACACTTGTCCTGTGCGTAACTCACAATTATCCCTCATTGTGTGGGCGTGTCGCAGGGGAGGGGAAACGGAGGATGATAACATTCACTAGCCCTCAGATAATTGTCATTGTCATGCGAATTTCGGCAGCATCTGGGCCTCCCGGTGCAAAACCAAATCCCATCACAACTTCCATCCGCAGCAAATTCAATCCAAATTTGCGATGCATTCTGCTGGATTGGTCATATTTTCCATCTAATGGGTTTGTCACTGAGGCGCTGAGGCTTCCTCCGCTCACTTACCCTCCTGTCGAATCCCATTTGCAGTCATTAGAGAGAGCTTCAGTTAATATTGAACATTTTCTTCTCGAGTGCTGCCATTCGCCTTGGCAACAGCCGAGACAAAATCAGCTTAGTTGCATATGCTTATGGGGCAAAGAGGTTTGCTTCTGCCTGGGTGTAAATCTCAGTTGCACGTTCTCGAGATATGCATCTTGTTTGACAATGTTGTCGGATTTGTCTTGGTCTTGGCTCCTGCCTCCCCTGTCCCGCCATCACTCCCTGTATTAGTCAGATTGGAAGCTGACATAAGCTTGTTATCGGATCGCCGGCAAGAACAAGTCTTGCATTTGCTTTGCAGGTGAGTAATGTAATGTATTCCAAAGATGTTTTCCATCCACCTGAGGTTACAATAGTTTCATACGTGTATAAATCACATGTGAGACTTTTCAATGCTCGCTCGAGGGGGTTCTGCAGAGAGCAAGAGGCACCTCTGATGCATCGAATCCTACAAAATATTCCTATTGATGTATATGCTGATATAACTGATAACAGTGGCCATATCTGCAGCACTAACTCGGAGAGTAATGGGTGTTTAATACCATCGATATCTTCAATGCTTGGTGGAGCTAAAATCGTGGCATAAACCGCCACGAAAGCACCAGAAATAGTAGCAACATCTGCGGCAACAATTTCAAGTGCAACACCACAAGTCATAACAGCAACCCCAGCAGATACAACTTTATAAGAAGCCCCTGATTACTCCTCCCACAGACACATTTTTCGGGCGTAAAAATTCACTGAAATGCTGACAAATTTCTTTAGTTCTACAAACAAATCGGAACATAATATCTAAAACTCTATTATTAGAAATGTTATATTCCACAGACCGAAAAGTAAGGCAATTCTGCGCCTCCCAAAAGTCTGTGCACATTGTTGTTGGTTTCTGGGGACCGACTCAGCGGCCCAAGACAGACAAAGCCGAGTCGGCAGTGGAGGTGTTAGATATCAAATGTCATCTACCATGTTTTTGAACTCTGGGAGCGCCTATTTTCGCAGTTCGCACCAAAAATCAGTCACATCAAAATCAAATAATTAAGTATTGATCTAAAAACAAAGACATGGTCTTTGTAAATCGCACTTCAAAGATCATTCACTGATCCCTGATCAAGTTGAGCTGATGAAAGGCAGCCCTTTAACATTACCTGAAGGGGAATATAAGTATTGCATTTGTTAGGTTGTTTTAACATTTATTTATTTATTATATTTATTTATCTAGTATTTCAGTATCAATATTCACAATCGTCCCATAGTTCTGGTTCTGCGAACTAGAACTATGCGGAACTAGATCGGAAGGGAACTGGAGATCGGAGCTAGTTCGATGGAACCCTTTTTGCTGTATCGACAAGACGGAGAGGTTGGTGAAGAATAAAGTGAAATTAAATCTTTAGAAAGACAAAACATCCGTGGACTTTCTGCGTCAATACATTTTTAAATATTTTGAGAATTAAATAAAGACAAGGAAAAGACGTAGCTGTTTTGGTACCTGAGATGCCCACAGAACCAATAGAAGCATTCCTAAAGCAACTGCAGTTTTCCTTGTTTAAAAGAACAACAACGGAAACAGCAATTGCAGTCTTAGAAAAAACATGTTAAAATATACTCTATATATATTTATATACTCGTGGAAGAGTAGGTTACAGACATAAGCCTAATTGATGCTCTCTTTTCGACTTTGCCCGCTGATCTTCTTGTTAGCCAGTTTCGCGTTTTGTTGGCTGTTGCTGTGGCTCTGGCTAAGGCTGTTATTCAATTTGATCTACTGGCTAAATGCGCTCTGCTTTGAGCCGACGTTGTTGCTGTTTTTTTTTTTTGTTTTTTTTTTTTGTGCTGTCATTGTAACAATTTTATGGCTAGTACGTTTTTATTTCCACCGATTTTCAGTGATTTTCTCTGGCGTTTTTTTTTTTCTCAGTTTTTTTGTGGCCGCCGTACAATTTTGTGCTCGTACGAGTGTATTTGTTTCAATTGCATGACGCATTTAGCAATTTCAAGTTCAAATCACTTTTTACGGCCATTTGTGTAATCACGTAAGCGTCATTTGTGGAATAGTCGCACATGCGAGCCCCTGCCGAGTGACTTCATGCAGAAAACCCCCCTACCCTCCGCCCTCCGCCTAATAGAGTTGCATTTAAATTAATGGCCCAAGATCTGTGATTAAAGATATCTGTTTCCATACTCGCAGATGTGGGTTTTGTGTACAACTGGCGAAGCTGGCGCTAACCAAAAACTCTTAATTAGCCAAAGAAGAAGTTCTTTTTGGTTCGGTTTGGTGGGTTTTTTTTTGGCTGTTCGACTGGTTCCACCAGTTTCCGTTTCGGTTTCAGTTTTCGTTTTCAAAGAACAAGAACAACAAGAAGAAGACCTCAACGATGATGATGATGATGATGCTGTAGCTGAAAGATCAGCAGCCACAAAGAAAGAATAATAAAATGGAATACAACAGAATACCACTTATTGATGTGATAATCTAAAGATCAAGGTCTTCCTTTTGCCATTTCAATAAATCGTATTTCGCGCTGCGTACATTTCTTACTTCATTTCAATCTTTGATTTCATAGAAACCAAACGAAACTAGAATTCTTTGCCGGCTCGAAAGATGTCTCGCGGCGGCATGGATTAGCGATAGCACAGGAAGTGGGCTGTCGACTGCTCGTATAAACACAAAACATCTATAAGAAAGAACGAAAGAACAAATACACATACTCGTACGAAAAACGAAAGTTTCAGACAGACAAAGTGGAGCATAAGCCGTGGATTCAGTTCAGCTTTTGGGGAATAGAATCGGTCCCAGACTCTGCCTCTGCCTCTGCTTTCCGACTCTCCAGTTATGTAAAACATATGCTAAACTAATATGGGTAGTGGCTGGGAGGGAGAGCTGCTACCAGGGATGCGGTTTGCAATTCAAATGCAGTTTGCAACTTGCTATTCATTGGGGGATTTGCACGAGAATCAGTGCAGCCAGCGATGAGAACGATGAAAGATGATTCCATCATGATTCTCAGTCTCTCTCTCCCTCTTGGTTGCTGTCTCTTTCGCGGGCTGAATGCAGGCTTAACAATGGTATGAAGTGGTAAGGAGAGGGCTATAGAAACAGACTATAAAACACTCTCTATCTGGAAGTAGAGAGGAGGTTTATCCCTGGTTACATTTATTCATTATCCTACATCTTCTTTGGTACTCCCGCTTTCTGTTGGCCTCTCCTTATCCGCACCTCATTGATTCCTTGAAATGATAAACCCTAGCACCCTCTTAAGGCACTCCAGTCCAGTCCACTCCAGCCGCCCAACCCAGTCCATCCTTCACCGTCAATCTGCCATTAGGACCCCAAGCAGAGTGCCACCGACAAATCCGAGTCAAGCATTCAGCCAGACAAATGGTTAGCCCCAAAAGGGGACAAGTGAAGAGTCAAATGAAATGCTCACACAAATATGTCACGCACAACACAACAAAAAATCGTACAAAAAAAAAAACGAATGGAACAGGGTTCGGCGGGTTCAAATGAGGCGCGCCAAAGACACACACACACACACACACACACACACACACACACAGAAAAATAAAACCAAAGAACGAACCGAACCCAAGCTCGAAAATGTTTTTTTTTTGTTCTGGTTTTTTGTTGAAGAAGACGCAACAGCTTCGATGATAAGCAAAGCAGCTCGAAAAACGAGAACTTTGAAAGGGAAAACGAAACCGAAACCGAAACCGAAAGAGAAACAGAAACACAGAATAGGAAAGGGAGCTCTCAGTATGGGGAGGGGGGGAATGGGGGAAAAATATGCTCAAGAGGGCGTCAAAGTTGACGCTTATCTGCGCCTCATTTGCCAAAACAACAAACACAAAGGCCTCATCAATTTCAAAGGCCTCGGCGACCGACCGTCGGATCGTTGGAGCCAAAGATTGGACAACTGACAGCTGTCTGGGGAGAGGCTCTGGTGGGGAAGAAATAGGAATGAACCTACCCGGCCATCTGCGGACTATGGGGATACCAAGTGAGAAAAAACACCTATAGATTTGGCCTCTGCTGTCGCAAACATCTCCACAAATAGCATATACCCTCAGAGGTGGGGGGTTGTGCACGACCACCGGATATCAAAATTAAGAGAGGGCGAAAACTGTGGACACTGTCGCGCCAAAGTTCGGTCAACTTTCAACTTGTAATTTGTCATTGTGGCAGGCGCCGTGAGTGGCCAACAGAAGGCGACATCGGACATCGGACATCGGACATCAGACAGCTGCCTCGCG